CCAGATGGCGCTAATATAAGCTAAATAACGAACATTTATTTCCTTAACGATTAATTATACATATTTTTGTAGATTTCGGTCCTTTGATAAACTTGGCAGAGATAAACGTACTAAAAAAATAGCATTATCGAGTCACTAGAGAGCGCTAAAAGCAAAATATAATTAATATTGTCGGTTTCTTGTTAAGCACACAGCTACACAATGGGCTATCCGTGCTGTGCCCACCACGGGTATCGAAACCCGATTTTTAGCGTTACAAAATTTTCTCAAGTCTAATTAATTATTTACACAAATTGACCAGAAATTTCCTATAATGTCAACAGGAGGCACAATGAGAGTAACCCTGTATTGTCAACAGGGGGCGTGATATTAAATTAATCCTGTATCTCTTAGCTGTCTGCACAGTTACGACAAAAACGTTTTATTCAAGATTACTTACTAAACGATATCACTTTGTAAAGTATATATATATTTATGTTGTTTCATGGACACTGGGTATTTGTTTCTCTATTCTGATGTTTTTTTCACTTTTCGACATTTGGTTATTTCTGTAATCGAAGTTGATTAGTTTATGAAATAAAACTTTTGTTACTTCAAACTAGTACTTTTATTTGTTATCAAAAGTCACATTTCTCGTCGGTTTGTCAGTTTTATTTACTGTTTGACAAGTCTGATTGATGTTGAACTTTTAGGAGCTTTCTTACAAACCACGCTCATTACATTTGCATTGTTCATATTGACCCCACCTTATTTTTTACTGATTATACTTGCATTGTTCATGTTGACCACTACCTTATTTTTTACTGGTTACCTTTGCATTGCTCATGTTGACCATTACCTTGTTTTTTACTGGTTACCTTTGCATTGTTCATATTGACCCCTACCTTATTTTTTACTGGTTACCTTTGCATTGTTCATGTTGACCCCTACCTTATTTTTTACTGGTTACCTTTGCATTGTTCATATTGACCCCTACCTTATTTTTTATTGGTTACCTTTGCATTGTTCATGTTGACCCCTACCTTGATTGTTTACTGGTTACCTTTGCATTGTTCATGTTGACCACTACCTTGTTTTTTACTGGTTACCTTTGCATTGTTCATGTTGACCACTACCTTATTTTTTACTGGTTATACTTCATTGTTCATGTTGACCCACAACTTTTTTTTAACCCAGATTTATTCAGAGAAAGCACTAGTTCTATATTGGAATATCTAGCGAATATTTAACCAATAACTAATTTTGGTTTTCCTACATCATAAAATTTCCCCAAACAAGAGGGGTCAACGAGCTTGTGTTTTTTTAGCTATTGGTTTTTATCCCGTGTCAGCTGCAATACGACAAAACAGCGAGGCCACAGCGACTATACTCACACGGTTGATGGTTCCATCAGCCCCTAAACAGCCCGCTAGGCGTACCCAGCGTAAACCGATATAACCTATTAGAGAAACACAATGTCGTATAAAGGATTAGGCCTACCGAACACCGGGAGGCATTTGGTTGGGTCATTGTTTTTGGTAATGGCCTTGGTAAAGGAGAAAGAAATAGGGAGATAAATACATCGGTAAACTTAAGCATAGCTGGAGGCCGAAACGTTCAGCCCCTGACAAGCCCCGTTGGCGGACAAGTTAAGGCAGCAAACAACTCATTCAAGCCCGATCCTAGACACCCGAAAAGCCGCCGCTGTCGCCTCTGAAATTGACAAAAACAAACACTAACGACCCTTCAAGCACTTAGAGACTCACGAGTAATACACCTCATTTACGCATGCGCAATGACAAGACTAGAATTACCCGAACGTAGTACTCGCAAGGCGGACACACACAAGTACATACATACAGTTGGTGCGGCGCGAACTGTAAGGTAAGCTCCCAAACCCCCCGACAAAGCCACTTCAGTTTCTCGGAGAGGGATCTACTTAATGGGCGGCTTCAAAGCCACAATCGGCAAACAAGCTGAGCCTTGTACAATTTGGCGTGTCAATAGGCTAGTTAGGCTACTTAACGGACACTGAGATCGACCTTGAACAAAGAGGGAAGTGAGAGACCGGTGGAGCTGTACTTACAAAGCCGTGTTTGTCCGAGATGTTGTTAGTGAGTTTGAGCTTGTGGAAGGATACCACCTTCTGCATCCACTGTTCCCCAGTGTTGGGCGAGTCTGGGTGGATGTACATCCGTTTGGCCATTTCTGGGTCAGCCTTGCCAGCCACCATCCAACGACTGTTGTGGAACTTGTACCTGGAATCATCAGCGGCCACAATGTCCATCAACATGATGTACTTAGCTTTCTTGTCCATTCCGGACACTCGGACTTTGAAGGCAGGAAACATCCTCCTGGAAGATATACAAGAAAGAACAAAACCAAAACTTAATGACAAAACTTTAAAGCTTAGTTATCCAGTGTGTGTGTATATATGTGTGACCTATGCTATTTTGTACTTTTCAACTCACCTATTAAAATTAAATTCTTATCAGGTCATGATGCTGGCAATAAATTCATGTACTTTTGAAACGACACAGAAGAAAAGTTTAATTAATGTTGTAAAAAACTTTGAGCATCTCAAAGACTTGGTGGCGCCTTTAATTGAGTTCATAATTTAAAAGGGAGTTGAAAAAAAAAACTTATATAAGACTGTCAGTCTCGTATCTTATTTAAATATATAGTTTTCCCCTTTATCCCTGTGACTTAATAAGCACAAATGCTGGTTCTCAAGATTATACGCTCCCTACCTGTTGGGACAGCAATATGCTTGAAGACTTATAGTCGTAAGATTCGGGGTTTAATTCATTCTTGCAATGAAGATAGAACAAGTGGCCCCAAAAAAAGAACGAAGACTTATAAAAAAACGTTCACAGTTCAATACACTGTTTATATAAATGAAAAACCTTAGAGAGGAGAGTTGAAAACGAACAAATATATAAAACAATGATTGAATAGGTATTGTGTGTTAGTGAGAGAAGAGCTACGAAGGAGAATTAATAGAATAGTGTAAATAGACAAACGTTTAATGTAGCTGTTGACATATCTCTTGTAACAACAAGACTTGGGGAATGATAAGAATGGCTTGTTCTCTTGTTGTTACAGTCTTCGAGAATGATAAGAATGGCTTGTTCCGAAGTTTTGTTGTTACAGTAAAATGATAAGAATGGCTTGTTCACTGTAACAACAAGACTTGGGGAATGATAAGAATGGCTTGTTCACTGTAACAACAAAACTTCGAAAATGCTAAGAATGGCTTGTTCACTGTAACAACAAGACTTGGAGAATGATAAGAATGGCTTGTTCACTGTAACAACAAGACTTGGAGAATGATAATAATGGCTTGTTCACTGTGACAGCAATACTTGGGTAGGTTCAAGACTTTATATTAATTAAAACCACACAATCATTTTAACTTATAGTTTGTTTGTTCGTTGTTTAGCACAAAGGTATACGATACGTTACCTGTGCTGTAGCCGTGATGGATATCGAAACCCGGTTTTTAGCGTTATAAGCCTTCAAACTTAACGCTGAGGCAATAGGGGTGTATACATATAACTTATAGTCAGCCATTTAATTTCTTCATGCCTTCGTTATAAAACTAAATACAAATTTTATAACAATTTAATATGGTCGCACTACTTATTGTTTATTTAAATAAAAGTAAATTAACCGAACTGACAACCATATTGGTTCTCCCGGTAGCTCAAAGATTTCGATAGCCCATTTTGTAGCTTCGTGCTTAACAACATCCACAATGAGACATTCATATTAAAAATTCCAATTTTGTGATATGCGAAACAACTTTGATAACTGGTAAGAAAGAACTGGTTTCACTCTTTAACGTTATTACAGACTATCTATTGCTTATTTACACGTTATGGAGTTTTCATAACATCATTCAATGATATTAATCTTTATTATAACTTACACGCTTTACCTTATTTACAAGTTTCGAAGCTGTCTTAACAAATAGTCATTTTAAGCTTTCTTATACCTTATTTACAAGTTTCAAAGCTGTCTTAACAAATAGTCATTTTAAGCCTCCTTATACCTTACTTACAAGTTTCGAAGTTGTCTTAACAAATAGTCATTTTAAGCTTCCTTATACCTTATTTACAAGTTTCAAAGCTGTCTTAACAAATAGTCATTTTAAGCCTCCTTATACCTTATTTACAAGTTTCGAAGTTGTCTTAACAAATAGTCATTTTAAGCTTCCTTATACCTTATTTACAAGTTTCGAAGCTGTCTTAACAAATAGTCATTTTAAGCTTTCTTATACCTTATTTGCAACTTTCAAAGCTGTCTTAACAAATAGTCA